GGGCTGGGGATTCGAACCCGCCACCTTAGGTGTACGTGGCTGGCGCCTTAGCCGGTTGAGCTATAGGCGCTGAGCCTGAGGTTGCTTTAAGCTGTGATACCATGGCACTTTACCAAGGGTGACAAAGTGAGGCTCTGTCTCAAAAGAAAAACAAACAAACAAAAAAGGCATCTTTGAACAATGTAACCAGAATGTTGAGCACTACATGACACAGTCCAAGTTGGTGTTATGGACAATCAGTAGTGGGTGGCATCAAGACTCTGGTTTTCCGGGTGGCGCCGTGGCTCAGTGAGTAGGGTGCTGGCCCCATATACTGAGGATGGCCTTAGCCAAACTGCAACAAAAAATAGTCAGGCTTTATGGCAGGCACCTGTAGTCCCAGCTACTCAGGAGGTTGAGGCAAGAGAATCACGAAAGCCCAAGAGCTAGAGGTTGCTGTGAGCTGTGACACCACGGTATTCTACCAAGGGTGACAAAGTAAGACTCCTCTAAAAAAAAAAGAAAGAAAGAAAGACAGACTCTGGTTTTTCCATGTGGAGCAGCAGTATTACAGACTTGGAGGCGATAGCAAATGGCACTTTAAGAACATATCCTTTAGAGCTGGACAGACTGCACAGATGACAGTGATACAAATTACCAGAACACTATGAAGCCCTCTCTTATCCAATTTGTGTCAAGGAATTTCATTTCAGAAAAGGAAAACTAAACTGGGCATAGTGGCTCATGCCTGTAATCCCAGCACTTTGGAGGCTGAAGCGGGCGGACTGCCCAAGCTTATGAGTCTGAGACCAACTTGAGCCAGAGTGAGACACCGTCTCTAAAAAAATAGCCGGGCACTGTGGTGGGCATCTATAGTCCCAGCTATTTGAGAGGCTAAGGCAAGAGGATTGCTTGAGCCAAGAGTTTGAGGTTGCTATGAGCTATGCCAGGCCACTCTACCAAGGGTGACCAAGTGAGACTCTGCCTCAAAAGAAAAAGAAAAAGGCTTGGCACCCATAGCACAGTGGTTATGGCACCGCCAAATGAACGGAGGCTGGTGGGTTCAAACCTAGCCTGGGCCAGCTAAACAACAATGACAATTGTAACAGAAAATTGCTGGGCATTGTGCTGGGTGCCTGTAGTCCCAGCTACTTGGGAGGCTGAGGAAAGAGAATCACTTAAGCCCAAGAGTTCGAGATTGCTGTGAGCTGAGACACCACGGCAGTCTACAAAGGGTGACAGAGTGAGACTCTGTCTCAAAAAAAAGAAAAAGAAAAAGAACACTTACTATACAATAAAACTAAATTTTACTGGCTCAGCACCTATGGCTCAAGTGGCTAAGGCGCCAGCCACATACACCTAAGGTGGCAGGTTCAAATCCAGCCTGGGCCCACCAAACAACAATCATGGCTGCAACCAAAAAATAGCCAGGTGTTGTGGTGGGCGCCTGTGGTCCCAGCTACTTGGGAGGTGGAGGCAGGAAACTCACTTGAGCCCAGGAGTTGGAGATTGCTGTGAACTGTGATGCTACTCTACCCGGTGGGGGGACAGCTTGAGGTTCTGTCTCAAAAAAAAAAAAAAAAAAAAAACCAAATTTTACTTATTATTTTTTTTTAGAGACAGAGTCCCACTTTGTTTCTCTCAGTAGAGTGTGCCGTGGCATCATAGCTCATTGCTTATAGCAACCTCCAGCTCTTAGGAGATTCTCTTGCCTCAGTCTCCCAAGTAGCTGGGACCACAGGTGCCTGCCACAACACCCGGCTATTTTTTGTTGCAGTTTGGCTGGGATCGGGTTTGAACCTGCCACCCTTGCTATATGGGGCTGTCACTGAGCCACAGGTGCTGCCCACTAAATTTTATTTTTATTTTTTTTGAGAGACTGTCGCAAACAAAAAAAGAGCACTATTACTATGCAATAAAAACTAAATTTATTTTTTTTTTTTGAGACAAAGTCTCACAACGTCACCCTGGGTAGAGTGCCATGGTGTAAGAGTTCATAGCAACCTCAAACTCTTGGTTTTAATCGCTTAAGTTTTTAAGCTCAAGTAGCTGGGACTACAGGTGCCCGCCATAACACCCGGCTATTTTTTTGGTTGCAGTTGTTATTGTTGTTCAGCAGGCCCAGGCTGGGCTCAAACCCACCAGCCTCAGTGTATCCTACTCACTGAGCTACAGTTGCTGAGCCCATTTTTGTGTTTTTTAATCTCATCATTCTCTGCCCCTCTCTCCGTTTTCTGACACTCCCTCCAAACTCTTCTTCACTTACTCCTTCTCCCAAAGGTGCATACACAGTAGGCATCTGACAATTCTTGACAAGTATCTAAAGACTCTGGTCTTCTAAATCAGGATCTCAGCCTAAACCTATGCTTAGACCTTTGATCTCTATCAACTTTATCCAAAGAACGAGACAAAAGGTGACAACTCTTAATTTCTGGGGTATTCTCTAGTTCTCAAGTACAGGGGCAATTGTAGGTGTACAAAGGGAGGGCAAGTGGGTTATTAATTCCTCCCACACTTACTGCACACTGCTAGGTACTGCAATAGCCAGGCACTTGGGGATGCAGGTGTCAGCTGGGTAGACAGCTCCCTTTCCTGGGAGCCTGTAGCCACAGTGGTTACCGCATCAGCCACATTATTTTAAAAAATAAAAATAAAAAATAGAAAAACTAGGCTTGATGCCTGTGGTTCAAGTGGCTAAGGCACCAGCCACATACACCAGAGCTTGAGGGTTTGAATCCAGCCTGGGTCCACCAAACAATGACAGCTGCAACCAAAAACAAACAAACAAACAAACAAAAAAACAGTTGGCCCTTGTGGCGGGTGCCTGTAGTCCCAGCTACTTGGGAGGCGGAGGCAGGAGAATCGCTTAAGCCCAGAAGTTGGAGGTTGCTATGAGGTGTGATGCCACCGCCCTCTACCCAGGGCAACAGCTTGAGATTCTGTCTCCAAAAAAAAAAAAGAAAAGAAAGAAAGAAAGAAAAGGAAAGAAAAAAGAAAAACTAGCCAGGGGTGGTGGCTCACACCTATAATCCTAGAAATTATGGGTGGCCGAGGGGGGTGGATTACCTGAGCTCAAAGGTTCCAGACCAGCCTGAGCAAGAGCGAGATGCGGCCTCTAAAAATAGCCGTGCGTTATGGCAGGGCCTGAGTCCTAGCACTTGCAAGGCTGAAGCAAGAGGATCACTTGAGCCCAAGAGTGGAGCTTGCTGTGAGCACTAACACCATAGCATTCTGCCCAGGGCGACAGAGTGAGGCTGTCTTAAGAATAAAAAGAAAGCAGCCCTCCTAAAGTTGAAGTCATTGATTGGGCATTCGAAGGAGATGGAGGTGGGAGTCCAGCCCTGACCCCACCCCCAGTGGGGCGCAACTCCCCCCTCCCCCCCAGCTCCGTGGCTCGAGCTAGTCTGCGGTTCTGGGTCACAAAGGCGGTTGCCAGGCGCAGAAAAGATGCCACTTCTGGAGCGTGCAGCCGGCGGAGTTCAGCAGGTGAGCCCTCCGGCCCCGGATGGTGGGACCGGGGCCGGCTCCCACCGCCTCCTCCGCCTCAACCAGAGCCGTCTGGCTCCCGCCACAGGGTAGGAACCCCGGGGAGACAAGTCCCTTCTTCTCTTGGGGAGGGTGAGCCTCTCGCACTACGGGGCAGCTCCAGTCCCTTGGGATCTCAGTTTACAGTGTGGGAGGACCTCAGCTGCATCTTGGCGCTACTCTCTGCTTTCCCAGGTTGGGTAATTAGGCGATGGGCTTCTTGCAATGGCAGGACTCATGAAGGGGAAGCATTTTTGGGTAGAAGAGCCAGATGTCTGTCCCCATCTGGGAGGTATTAGAACAGCTTGAACAAATTTCTTAGGTTCAAGCCCTCCTGGAGTGCATGACGGTGACTTGGGGTAGTAGGGATGGAGTGAACCATCTTTCTTAAACCCTGTGTAAAGGAGTGCAAAGACCTGGGTCAGAAACTTTCTCATCTTGTTTTCCTATATATTTAGGCTGGACATGTGACAAAGTCATTTACCTCTGGCTCTATTTCCTTTTTGTATAAATCAAGACAAGGATTTTGGGATTAAATAATTTGTTTAGGAAAGTTAATACCCCCCTGCCATACCCCTATTGCCATGGCCAGAGTAGCCCTGATCTTGGATGCTTTTGAGACAGTCTCACTTTGTCACCCTTGGTACAGTGCCCTGGCATCATAGCTTACAGCAACCTCCGACTCTTGGCTCAAGAGATTCTCTTGTCTCAGCCTCCCAAGTAGCTGGGACTACAGGC